AACAACAGGAGGGGGTGAGTTTATCAAAACAAGAAAGTGGTGAAATGACACAGAAAGCAAAAAATGAAGCTGTAGAATAATGTTGACACAATGTGCGGACATTAGCGTGGAGTTTGTGTCTGGGGACTGGAGAGAGAGTGAGGGACCTGTAACTGGGTACATGTGAAAGGGACTTGTCACCTCACTGTGCCAAACCTACAGACTACGCCACCCCGGGAATTTCACCCAAGGAAATAACGAATCCTCCTCTAATACCATAAGGCACCCAGGTTCGGTCTATGCCCAGGCAGGAGACGTGATATCACTTAAAATGTTTATTACACAAGCTCTAAAAACACAGCAAATGAACACTTCGTCCCAAGGACACAAAATGGGAGCTCTGTACCAGGTACAATGTGGAATATGTGGGCAGCATAGAGTATGGGTTAGACAGTGGGCCGGCAGTGACACAGAAGGAGAGGGAGATTTTGGTACTTAGCAAGGAGCCAGTGGCCGAGCCGGACAACTTGGTGTATGCATGTCTTTGTTCACAGTAAATGTTGCTGGAGGTAATTCGAGGTTGTGGCCAATTATTCAGTTCAAGACACAACAGCCGGTCAGACAAAACAAAAGAATTAAGCAAAATAACACCAACGATTTAAAATTATACATTAAATACAGAACAACCACTTAACACAAAACACAATTAATGAAAAGAAACATAAAACCAAAATATAAAACAGATCCAACAGAGCAGCAGTGGTCCTACAAAGTCCCCGTCGCGTTCTTGCAGCCGGTAAATCATCCAGACACCATCTATTAGAAAAGCAGAGACAGTTTATGTGCTACAGCCAGGAAAGAGGGCAGAACCGACAACTTAGGCAAACATACCACTCAGGCAGCGCCCTCAATCACACGCAAGAGGGGAAAGGCAAACCATACCGGTGTCACACTGGAGGAGAAACTGTCCTGCTACGAAGCGATGTACACGCTGCCTTCAATCCGAGTTACTATTAAACGCAAACGAACAATCAATGGCAAAACGTAGCCGATAGGGAGCAAAACAGCTACTGCTACCTTACTCATGCTGCTAGGAGAGTCGAAGGAAGTGGGCAGTATCAACACCGTCAAGTCAGGCAATGCCCCCCACTGGGCACCAAAGCTTTATAGAAGGTGCCCCCAATTGAACACGCAACAGCTATATAGACACGCTGAGATTTTACATACACGTGATGTATTTGCACAGGTGAAACGTGGGTGGCAGGCCCCCCCCCACCACCACACACAATCAAATCAGCTCCACCTGCTACATTTCAGCTCCTCTAAACTTCCCGTAGACAAATTTGGAAAAACGCTGAGCCACTACAAAGTCACTTTTTATTCATTTTTCCTTCTAAAGTTAGTCTCTATACTACTTTTTACTCTGTTTTAGTCTAATAAAATACAAATAAACCTAAAGAAAGTAAAGTAAATTGGCGCTGTCATCCTCAGTGTTTTGTAGACCTCTTGCTAGAGTGGCTTATTTAATGCTAGATATGAATAGCGCTTCAGTGTCAATCTGCAACGTACACTATATTGGCAAAAGTATTGGGACACCCCTTCAAATCCAATTCAGGTGTTCCAATCACTTCCATAGCCACAGGTGTATAAAATCAAGCACTCAGGCATGCAGACTGCTTCTACAAACATCTGTGAAAGAATGGGTCGCTCTCAGGAGCTCAGTGAATTCAAGCGAGGTACCGTGATCGGATGCCACCTGTGCAATAAGTCCATTCATGAAATTTCCTTGCTATTAAGTATTCCATGGTCAACTGTT